ATGAATTTAATGTAACATTTTTTACAACATAAGTACTAGTAAATAGATTTTATGTAATAGTATTTGATATATTTTTTAACAAAATTTGAATATATGGACTAAAATAAATTTTTTTAAAATTATATGAATTAAAAAATCAATCTTAAATTTGATAAATTAAAAATAAATTTACTTTAAATTTGAGAGATTAAAAATTTATTTAAACTTATTATTTAAGATACAGATTTTTTATATAAGAAATTAGATTAATAAAACTGTTGATTTAAATTAAATATTTATTTTAAAAAATAATTTCAAAAAATAATATAAAATTGTCTTATTTAATATAACAGTACCATCTAATTTTAAAAAAAATACTAAATTCACTTATTATTATTATTATTATTATTATTCCTTTATTTGTTATGTTACTAGTTTTTTTCCCTTCTTTCTTTATCTATCAAGAAGTCAAAGATTTTTTTTCTTCTCAATAATAAGAAATAAAAGTAGAATTTTGGAATCTTTAATAAAGGATATTCGTACTGGTGTGCCATTGATTAATTCCATAAATTGTCACAAGCGACCCTTAAAGAAAGTTTATTACAATTGACATTTCTTAAGATAAATAATTACAATATTTTTCAGAGAAAATCATAGATCTATTTTTAACATAAGAAAGTATATATATATATATATAATTTTGACGATATTTCATGAAAAGGTTGTTATACTAAACTAAAACTAATATCAAAATAGGCTTTTACTTAAAAATAAGAAAAAAACTGACTAACAAACAAGCATTTAATTTTGAATCAGCCATTGCTACCTTACAATGAACCAGTGCACCACTGCACCACTGCACCTACCTGTTCCTCATCCTATCGTTAGCTTTAATTTGTCAATCAATCACTACCAATTTCTGCGTAACCAAACTCGGCACAAGTCTCAACCTCACTTTTCAACAATATACTATAGTGAGAGATTTGCAGCCATATTTGTCTTTGAAAAACTCAAGTTATTAGAAAAGTCATATATTTCAATCAAAAATATGTATGCCATCACAATAACTTTTGTTAACTTTTTTTAATAAAAATCACATTGATACGAAATATTTATTATAAAAAGTAATAATTAATTTTTGTTAAAAAATTTAACACACAAAATAGATATTTTTCTTCTAAAATAATATATATTATTAAAAAAATTATAATATTAAGGTTACTAAAATTTCATATGTTATGACAATACCGGTTGTTGTTGTCATAGTTAACGATTCCACAACAACGATTACAATTTATTTAATGATGTTTTTGCATCGACAATCATCATTTGTCGTAACTAACAAAAAAAACCTTGTACTAGTGACCCTTATTGTTGCCATACCTAACACACCGCAGTAGCAATCGAAGTATCTTTGATAAACTACCTTTTTAAGCCATGTATCTTAATTTTTCGTTATAACAAAAAGTCACAATCATAAGTTATCATTTCCTATCAACTTAAATTGTTGGGATATAACTTTTTCTATTGGTATGTGGTGTTGCAAAACGATTTGTATGTATTTAATTTGGTACTAATAACAATATTACAATTTTATAATTAATTTAATTGTTATAATTTTTCAAAATCAAACTATATAATTAAAATGAGTGAAGCATATATCTATTAAAAAAAGATAAATTTACAATCACCAGTAGAAAAAAAATTATAACATCCATTTTGCGTTGATTGTTACACAACTTAATTATGTAGAAAGTAGCGTGATTATTATTTTTTATTAATTTGAAACAATTATTTATATTATTTTTAAAATAAGTAATGTGACAATTAAAAAAAAATGTGAAAATCTTATTTTACATTATTTCAAATTAAAAAAAATTATCTAAAAAAATGTGCTAGAAATAACTTAATTGTTTGACTAAAATTAGAATATTTAAAAGTATGACCTATTTTTCTTTTGAACTGGAGACTCTATTTATATTGAAATTACTCATTTTTTTCAATACAATTTCATAAATTACCGAATGTTATTTTTACTATTAATAATTTTATAAATCATATTATTATGACTTTTATCTCATAAATTATGTCATTATATTTATTATCGTATATAATTTCATAAATCTTAATTATTTGTCTCATATTTATTATTGACAAATAGTTGATCATCGATTGAGTCATATTCTAATAACAATATAAAAGATTTGATTGTTTAATCTCAATTAATTGAAGATTAAGTTAATAAATATAAAGAGATTTGATTAATTGAAGGTTAAGTTAATAAACACAATCGATTAAAAGTTTGTTTTCTCGTTCTTTCATTTATTTGAATATGATTGTGTTGTTGTTGTTGTTTTTTTTTTTTAAGAGTAAGGTAGAGGTCACTCTCATAAAAGGGCTTGCAAATCTACACGATGGTGGTCATGGTTTGCGGAGGAGAAAGGTTCACGGAGTGGGAGAGAGATGAGAGGTGGAAGGAGACAACCATGAGGTGGGGGATCATGTAAAAATGTTAATAAGACATAAGTCAAATTTTATCACATACGCATTTGTAAAATACATTAAATAATTGATTACATAAAATAATGGTCCATCATTAAAGCTTGCTCCTACGAAAAGAAATTTGGCAGTCATTTGAAGTCCATCAAATAGATATGACTACAAAATTAATTCATTAGCCCAGCTTTATTATTTTAAATATCTCCCGACAAAGTAATTGAACCCACACCACAAATTATTCAGCAAAATTCTAATAAATTAATTCAAGATTATTTTTAGTTTAATTTCACTATGCAGTTAATAAATAAATTATAAAAGTCCAACTACCAGTTTCCTTGCAATATATATCTGTCGCCTAAATTGTTGCTAAATGGCTACACATCATATAATGGAATGAAACGATTTTTTATTTATTTATCTATAACCTTATATATATATATATATATAAATTTGCAATTAAATAATAATGTAATTTTTATAAATTTAAGTATATATATAGTCCCTTAAATTTAGGATAAGCTTATTTTTAATTCCTTAAATTTAATTTTTTTTTTAATTTCTATAATTTTTAAAATCCTTATTTTAGTCTTTAAAGTTATGAGTGACATATTTGATTTTAATAAATTAAGACAATTATATAATATCAACTAAGTTTAATATGATATTTTTAGAGATACTATTAGATAGATTTTTTGCAACAATATTTGAGAATTTCTTTAATAAAATTCGAGTATAAAGATTAAAATAAGATTTTTTTTTAAATCATAGGACTAAAAATATCAGTTTTAATTTTGAGTAACTAAAAATAAATTTATATAAAATTTTAAATTTAAAGGATTAAAAACATATTTAAATATTTTTATATGCATTTTTTTAGTGTAGATCAAAGGGTAAAATGTGTTTTTGTTTCTTCTAAAAATTTTGAAATTAAGCTTTAGTCTCTCAATTTTTTAAAATTTTATTCTAGTCTTACTAATTTACAAATATATCACTTTTAGTCCTTAAAATAGTTTAAATATATATCATATTTATAACCACTTTGATGCATTTTCAAATTAAATATTTTTTTTTTGAAGAAGTAAAGCCAAATATTCAAAAATTTAAATGGGTAAAAACATATTTTACTTATTAAAAAACCCTTTACATGGTTCTGTTTCTCTGTTTTTTTTAGAGTTTTCTACAATTATATTTCTTCAATGACAATCATATAATCAAATACTAAATATAACCGGTCTTCCTATGAAAATTCAAATCTTAATTGCTTATGTCTTCTGAATAAGTCTAACGCATTATTATGAGAACTCAAATCTTAATTACTTCTTTTAAATAAGTCTAATGTATTATTATTATTATTATGATATAGATATTGACAAATATTTAAATAAATTAATATTAAATTATTTTAGTTTGATGAATTTTTTGAGTTCGAGTGCCATACATGCATGTGTAAATGTTTAAAGAAAAATATTCGTGGCTCACTAGTATCCTATTCAACTATAGCACAATGGCCTCAAGTGAAAAATAAAAAATCTAGCATAATATATATGTCACTAACCGTGTAGATTTAAATCCAAGTGTCAAGCGTGTAATTCAGTAGTAGGGATTGATTCATGCTTAAACAAGATCAGGGATCCGAATCCTGTCTTGTGTATATAGTCACGTTAAATTTTGAAACAAACTATCCTACTTTTTGAGATGTCTTCAACGTATTATCGACAATAAATATTTCATGAAAAAAAAAATAATAAGTGGAGGCTTAAAACCATTAAAGTTATAAAAAATGCATTTTGGTGTGAACATTGACCTCGTAGACATTGACAAGACGTTGTTCACGGCGCGGTACTTTCTCAATGGCTAAGTATGTCTATGTGCGATACAGTACGGTTTATGATCTTGCTGCTCATACTCATACCCCTACCCCTATCCCTATGCTTCCCCTATATCCCTCATCCTATATTAATTTCTGCTTTTACAACACAATTATCAACTGGTCAAACAAATAAATAGATCTTGTCATTGTCAATTTGTCATTTCGATTTTTGTTTCATGCAAAACTTAAACAAATGGGTGTAGATAAAATAAAGATTTTTTTGCTTATTTGTTTAAATATTGAAAAGGCAAAAGAAAATAAAAGATAAAATATCTTATTTGTTTTTGTGTATAGTGTATAGTGTATAGTACAAATGAAGAGTGAGGTGAGTTGGGTCGGTTAGGGGCAGCAGTAGTATCTCACCCCCTCTCTCCCTGTTCCTTCAATTTCCTGTTATATCTAAATCTGAATTTAATTTAATTCCCTCCAAAACGTGGAACCCATGCTCCAACACATTATCCCACTCAGCAGCTTCCACATGTCTCTCTGGCAGCGCCCCACGTGTCACGCGTTGATGGAGCCGGCGGCATCTTATCCCCTGTGTCCTCGGTGCAGACAATCATTACCCCGAGAAAAGGTGCGTGACAAGAGTCAATCACGATCGCAGATCACAACTCTCAACTAACCTCCTCAATCTTCATATTTAAAAACTTTGGAGAAGCCAAACGCATCCAATTCCAACTCCACCGCTTTTTCTACTTTCATTTGCGTCGACACTTCACTTTCCTTCTCACCGGAAAACCCAACATTCATTACTCCTTCCTTAACTTCCCCATATAACAATATTCATTACTCATTCATTTATGTAATATTCCAATTCCAATATTCTAATCCTAACTTACACCTTGCCCCTTCCTTTCACACTTGACATATTTGTTTTATTCATTTATTATTATTATTATTATTATTATTATTATTTTATTTTTTATTTTTTTACTTCTAATCCGGACATAACCGTTTTTTTATCTCACGCCGATTCCACCCTCGTTCTCGTTCCCGCAGTGATCGCCCTTAGCATGAAGCTTCACCTAACCGCCGCCGTCATCCACCACCGCCGCCGCCGCCACGTCAGCGTCAACGCTTCAACCGCGCAGTGATATAGGTATTCTTCCACATGCATCCTTTCTGCTGCGTGTCCGCCATTTCCGACCAGGCCTCGCCAGTCAAACCCTCCTTCACGGACTTCGCCATGCCGCCTCTCCCTGCCGCCTCCGCCGCCGCCGTCGCGAGATCCGATTCGGTTCCGCGGCACAGCCACAAGAACAGCCTGAGCGGGAGTCAGCGGGAGCAGCCGGTGGACGTGAAGATCAACGACCTCGTCGGTAACGGAATCTCCGGAATACTCCACAAGTGGGTGAATTACGGCAAAGGATGGCGACCTCGATGGTTCGTGCTCCAAGACGGCGTTCTCTCCTACTACAAGATTCACGGACCTGATAAGATCGTCGTGAATCCCGAAACCGAGAAAGGCTCCATGGTTATCGGCGAAGAATCCATGCGCAGGATCACTCGCAACCGCAATTCATATCCCTGCCAGCACCGACGCAAGCCGTTTGGGGAAATCCATCTCAAGGCACGACCTAGTGACCTAGCTCTACTCTTCGTAACATAATTTCGATCATTAGGCGTTTTGGCGTGATTTGTTTGTTTTTCGCGTGTAGGTTTCGTCGATTCGCGAGAGCAAATCGGACGACAAGCGGTTTTCGGTTTTCACCGGAACGAAGAGGCTCCACCTGAGGGCGGAGACACGTGAGGATCGTGTGGCGTGGGTGGAGGCGTTGCAGGCGGTGAAGGACATGTTCCCGCGGATGTCGAACAGCGAGTTGATGGCTCCGGTGGACAATGTGATCGTTTCGACGGAGAAACTGAGACTTCGGCTTTTGGAAGAGGGAGTGAGCGAGGCTGCCATTCAGGACAGTGAGCAAATCATGAGGAGTGAGTTTGCGGCGCTGCAAAACCAGCTTGTGCTGCTTAAGCAGAAGCACTCCATCCTCATTGACTCCTTGCGCCAATTAGAGGTACGTCTAGTCAAAACCTCGTGCCAAATCGAACCGCCTCTTCTTCTTTCACTGCTAGTGCAATTGTAACTTGTATTCTATCCGATGTGCTGTTGTATGGTACAATATTTCGTGTTCGCACGCAATCACTTCAGAATGGGAATCTATACTTACTCATTTGGACGGTTCAGGTGGTATAGTATGGCATCATATTTTCTCCAAAATATTTAAATATTAAATCTGTGAAGAAGTATGGAGTTATGCATAGTTGTATGAAAGTTTAGAAACTCCTTTTTTCTCTCTTTGTTCTTTGTGACTTTGGTTTACCGTGTTAGTACCGTAATCCTGGCGCAAGTTATACCTTAAACTTGTTACATATTTGCTCAAGTGAATGCTCCTTGAATAAATTTGTACGAGCTGAAGTGAGTTACCGTCATCAGACATATATATGTCTCTCGCGTTCATTTATCTCGCTCTAAAAGTTTTCTGCCTGCTAAAAGTGGGGTAGGCAATCAACTAATGCTAAATGCTATTCCAAATGTTGTATGTTCTGAACTGACTAGTGAATAGATTAAGGTTTATTTTCCCCCCTCGTTTGTGTCCTACGTGGCCTTTGTGAATGAAAAACATAGTTTCTTTTACCCAGGAAGACAAAACGTGCAAACCTGGAAGCTGGAATTATGTTGCTGTTGCTCCTTGGGTGAAGGGCTGGGTAGGTTCTTCATAGGATGAATATTTTTATTAACACATTTTCTAATCAAGTTTATTAAATACTTTATTATAAGGGATTGCGGTCATTAATTTAAACGATTTAATTATTCATTGTTTTCATGTTGTTTAGCAAAATGGTTTCATTTGCGATTTGTACATGGACAGTTTATTGTTCATTTTAATTTATTTTAATGATGCTTTCTCTTGCTTCTTTAACATATTGATCAAGGATAAATCTTTTGTATCTTCATGTGTATTAACAAACTTTTATCTATGTTGTATTATTGTAGACAGAAAAGGTTGATCTGGAGAATACAGTAGTTGACGAGAGCCAAAGACAGTGGAATGATGAAGAGGCTTCCTCAAGATCAGCGCAAGAAAAATTTAGTGGTAAGACTTGAAATATTTCTGCATTAGCTGCAAGTTTTATGTAAATGTATCATGTATCATTGTTTTGGTGATGCATTTTCTTGAAACTTGAATTATTTAGGTTCGACTATCTCTATACAATGATGCCCCCCTTCGTTTCCATTGCTTTTTTTCTGAACTCTCTAAAGTTATATTCAAATAGTTTATAATATAACAAATTGTAGTGCATATTACTCATTC